TATATATATATACACACACATATATGGTGAAATACACATCTTGCTTCTGATCACACAAAATGACTTAATGCGGACCTTTACCACCTTTCATTAAAAATCACAGTGCCAGTGAAACTGGCAAACCTTGCACAGAATAAAGACGTCCCAAAAACAAGATTAACCAATTTCACCTCATCCTCTGTAACTACTTATGTCCCTATCCAAGCTGAAATGATCAACCACCGTGAAAGCTGATCAGACAATACTGAGATTGTCAACCTCTCAAATCATCACCTCACTATACAGGAAACAGCAGTCCTTTCCAAGGGGCTTACATTTTGTCCAAGCACCAAACTGGACCACATACAATTGTACTCAGACTTGGAAGAATTCTTTAGAAGACTGAGGCTCAAGGAATTTTTATTTGACAAAGATAACACCACATTCGGCCTGGACAGCAGAAAAAAGAACGAAGGCTTTACACCTGCAACAGGACGTAACATCAAATTGGACAATTACATTGAAAGCTTCCGCACGAGAGTAGCATCCCTTGTTACCACACAACAGAAAAAAAAACTACAGACAACCTTCTACCTGCAGAAAGAAAAGCCTTACATAACTTAATGAATGATAAAAACATCATCATCAAACCAGCTGACAAGGGTGGATCAATAGTTATCATGAACACCCATGACTCGATAAAAACTACTACAAACAACTGGACCAGGACCCCACTAGGGAATATACGGAAGAACTTACTAAACTTATCAAATCCTTCCCAAAACATATACAGCAAGGATTACTTAATCTGTTACCTTCCAATCCTCACATGGGGACCTTCTACATGCTGCCCAAAATCCACAAGCCAGGAAACCCAGGACGACCCATTATTACAGGTATGGAAACAATTACAGAACAAATATCTGGCTTAATTGAAAACATTCTAAAGCCCCTAGTTATCAACACTGGGAGTTTTATACAAGACACCACAGATTTCCTGAACAAACTGAGCCTAATCACCAACCTACCTGCTAATACTATACTTGTCACCATGGATGTGGAATCTTTGTACAGTAACATCCCCCATAAAGATGGTATTGAGGCCTGTACCAAATTCCTTTCCTCCCATAATGTCAGACAAAAATATGATAGTGAAACCATCGCCAAACTCATTGAATTTATACTGACAACACAACTGCTTCAATTTCAATGACAACATCTATTTACAAATGACCGGGACTGCTATGGGGACAAAAATGTCACCACAATATGCCAATCTCTTCATGGCTGACCTAGAAAACAGATTCCTAGCCACTCACCCTCATAAACCATTCAAATATTATCGTTATATTGACGATATTTTTGTAATATGGACAGAAGGAGAAGAAAGCCTTTTGAACTTCCATGAATCATTAAATTCATTTCATCCATCCATGAAATTTAAAATGAATTTCCTAGTACACAGTGTGTTTTTTCTGGATTGTGCCATAACGGTCAGCAATGGCTCACTCTGTTCCTCTGTGTACAGAAAACCCACAGACAGGTACAGCTACCTCCATAATTCCAGCTTCCATCCGAATCACACTAAGCAGGGTGTCATCTACAGCCAAGCAATCCAATACCACCGCATTTGCTCTGACACTGAGGACAGAGACAAACACCTGAGCACTCTGGATGATGCATTTCAGCGAAAGGCGAAAGGGCTATAGGGAAAATACTATTTCTAAAAAGATTAAATCTGCCCTAAGAACACCATGGGAAAGACTGCTACAGTACAAAGAGAAGAAAAACCCAACCAGGACCCCTCTTGTAGTTACCTACAACCCTACTCTAGAGGTAATACGCAAAATTATCAAAGATCTACAGCCAGTACTCTCAGAAGACCCCAT